TAGTGAACCCCATCTCTACTAAAAATACAAAGTAGCCAGACATGTGCCACATGCCTGTAATCCCAGCTTCTCAGGAGGCTGACGGCAGGAGAATCACTTGAACCCAGGAGTAGAGTTGCAGTGAGCCAAGATCATGCCATTGCACTCCAGCCTGGGAAAAAAGAGCAAAACTCTGTAAAAAAAAAAAAAAAAAAAAAAAAAAAAAAAAATTCAAGAAACAAGGCAAAGAAGAAATTTACCTCAAAATAATAAAAACCATCTGTGATGAACCCACAGCCAACATCATGCTAAATGGAGAAAAGTTGTAAGTATTCCTCCACTGGAACAAGACAAGGAGTCCCACATTCATCATTCCTACTAATTGTAGTACTGGAAGTCCTAGCCAGAGCAATCAGGCAAGACAAACATATGAAAGGCATCCAAATTGGAAAACAGTAAGTCAAATTATCTCCCACCCTTTTAGCTGGGTCAAGGGGCAGGTTCTCGGTGGCCTGAGGACTGGGAGGGAGGGGAACCGGGCGGGGCCTGGGCGGGGCCGCGGCGCCGGGGCTGCGGGTGCTGGGCTGGAGCGCTCCAGCCGGTGGTTTCCGGGAGACCCTGAGCCCCTAAATCGCGGTCCACTGCGGGGGTCAGGTGAGTAGCGCGGCGGCTGGGAGTCGCGTTGGCGGTGGTAGAGGCTGATGGTGGATGTTGTCCCCACTCCTCTGACTCTTCGGCAGGCCAGGGGAGCACCGCGCCCCTAATCTTGGAGGGGCTTTCAACCTCTGGGGTCCTCCGGGGAAACGTGGGTTAGTCTGCGGTGTAGCCAGGTGCCCTCTCCACTGTGGGCACGCTGGGGATTCCGGGCCGAGGAAGGGCTCCTGGCACGTGTTGAAAAAGTCGGCATCCCAGAAGGAAGATTCTGGGCAGATGGGCATCGGGGAAGGCAATCCCAACCAATGGGCCCGTTTCTGAGCACGTAAGCCTATTCAATGGGTGCTAACAAGCGCCTGCTTTGCCAGGCAACAGCGAGCAAAACCGGCTTTGTTCCTGGCCGCCGGAAGCTTCAAGGCTGGGGTTCCGGAGCTGGGCGCGCAATGGCAAACTAAGCGCCGAGGACCGGAACAGGAGCGCCCACCAGGGCCGCGATCTGGTGGGTAGGGGCAGGGCAATGGCTGGAAAGGGTCCCTGAAGCCCTGAGCAGAGACCCAAGGGCCGCACGACTGCAGGAAGGCCATTTTGCTTGACTGACAGGTGGAAAACTCACGTGGCTGGAGTAGCAGGGTTGGTGACGACAAGGGCGAATCCCACTAAGCCTTGAAGCTGTTTGGGGTGTGAGGGGTGAGGGGGATTCTCATTCTCAGAATTGCTGTGGATAGAGGGTTTTGGGTTGGAGAGAGATTGGGTGCACTCAAAGGACTGAAAGATGGCGACGACACATTCCCTCAGAGGATTTACATTCTGGAAGGGTGGGGACAGGCCCAGGTACAGATAAGCCCGCAGGCGGCCTCCAGCTCTTACAGTCGAAAGTCTGATGAGTTATGCCCAGTCGCCTTCCTCCTCCCGCCGGCCTGAGGTCTGGGGCCCCGTGGACGAAGGAAGTTCATGGGAGGCAAACGTACCTGGGCAAGCAACAGCTGCAGAGATTCAGTCCCCACAGGGATTAGGAGTCACACTTCGGGCCTCTTCCTACCGCCTCCAGCAAATGGCCATCTTGAGGACTAGCGGCAGCAGTAGGTCTTCTCCGCCAGATAACTGGAAGACCAGGTTCTTGAGGGCATTGTTACTAAGGCTGTTTTTGTTGTTGTTGTTTTTGAGACGGAGTTTCGCTCTTGTTGCCCTGGCTGGAATGTAGTGGCGCGATCTCGGCTCACTGCAACCTCCGCCTCCCGGGTTCAAGCGATTCTCCTGCCTCAGACTCCCGAGTAGCTGGGATTACAGGCATGCGCCACCACGCCCGGCTCATTTTGTAATTTTAGTAGAGAGGGGTTTCTCCATGTTGGTCAGGCTGGCCTCAAACTCCGGACCTCAGGTGATCCGCCCGCCTCGGCCTCACAAAGTGTTGGGATTACAGGCTGAGCCACCGTGCCCGGCCTTATTAAGGCTGTTTTGAAGTGCAGTTGGCTGGAAAGTGAAAGAATAATCCAAGATCTGCATGCCTCATAAAAGGAATGTGAATGGTTTTGAAAGATAGGAAAGGAAAGGGAGAGAGAAGAAAGAGGAAGAAAGGAAGGAAATCAAATTCATATCCCAGGAATGCAGCTTTCATGACAATATTTTGGAGATCCAATTAACTCTATTCCTCGAGGGTGTTTTTCCTTGCTGGTATTTTCACTTCTATTAACACTTCTCAAAAAGTGAAAGGAAAAAGTAGCCAACAGGGTTTTTTGGTCTTTATTCTTTTCTTTCTATCTCAAGTAAGGGAGATGTGGGTGAGTGGCTATCAGCAGGAAAAGATTCAGCTATGTTTGCATCTGAGCAGGAAATTTCCAAGGATGAGCAAGGAACTCCAGTGCTGGGCTCATTGTGAGCCCTAAATAAGGGATTGCTCTTGGGTTGTTAGCAGTATTCTTTACAAAGATCTGTGTATACAGTGGTTCCCCTTATCCACAGGTGATAAGTTCCAAGACCCCTAGTGGATATTTTGTTTTTGTTGTTGTTTGAGGCAGAATCTCACTCTGTCACCCAGGCTGGAGTGCAGTGGCACAATCTTGGCTCACTGCAATCTCCACCTCACGGGTTCAAGTAATTCTGCTGCCTCAGCATCCTGAGCAGCTGGGACTACAGGCACGTGCCACCATGCCCAGCTAAGTTTTGTATTTTCAATAAAGACGGGGTTTCACCATGTTGACCAGGGTGATCTCAAATTCCTGACCTCAAGTGATCCACCGCGCCCCACCCCAGTGGATACTTTGAAACCACAGACAGTACCAAACTCTGTATATACTATGGTTTTTTGTGTTTTTTTCTGTACATACATACTAATGACAAAGTTTGATTTATAAATTAGGCATGGTAAGAGATTGACAACAATAACTAGTAATAAGATAGAACAATTACAGCAGTATATTGTAAAAAATGTTGTGTGAATATGGTATCTCTCTCTCTCAAAATAATTTATATTGCTGGGCGTGGTGGCTCACTCCTGTAATCCCAGCACTTTGGGAGGCTGAGGCGGGTGGATCACGAGGTCAGGAAATCAAGACCATCCTGGCTAACCAGGTGAAACCCCGTCTCTACTAACAATACAAAAAATTGGCCCAGCGTGGTGGCGGGCGACTGTAGTTCCAGCTACTCAGGAGGCTGAGGCAGGAGAATGGCATGAACCTGGGAGGCGGAGCTTACAGTGAGCCGAGATCACGCTCCTGCTCTCCAGCCTGGGCGACAGAGCGAGACTCCGTCTCAAAAAATAAAAAATAAAAAATAAAAAATAACGTATATTGTAAATCTTAGCAGCCTCAGCATATGATTTTTTTTTCTTTCCTTAAAACAAGAATTTTACCTTTTCATTTTATGGCTTCTCTTTGCATATCTGAATTTCCAGTGTCTCTACTCTTGTGCTTTAGGGCCATGATTAAGTAAAATAAGCGGTTCTTGAGCACAGGCAACTGCTATACTGCAGTAGTCAACCTGATAACTGAGATGGCTAGCTACTAAGGAACTAATGGGCAGGTATTGTCTGCAGTGTGGATATGCTAGACAAATGGATTCACATTCTGGGCAGGCCAGAGAGAAAAGGTACAAGATTTCATCATGCTATCATGCTACTCAATGTCAAGCAATTTAAAACTTAGGAATTGTTTATCTCTGGATTTTTTTTTTTTTTGGACGGAGTCTCACTCTGTCTCCCAGGCTGGAATGCAGTGGCGCAATCTTGGCTCACTGTAACCTCCGCCTCCAGGGTTCAAGTGATTCTCCTGCCTCAGCCTCCCGAGTTGCTGGGATTACAGATGTGTGCCACTATACTCAGCTATTTTCTTTCTGTATTTTTAGTAGAGACAGGGTTTCACCATGTTGACCAGGCTGGTCTTGAACTCTTGACCTCAGATGATCTGCCTACGTCAGCCTCCCAAAATGCTGGGATTACAGGCATGAGCTACTGTGCCTGTTCTCTGGATTTTTTCATTTAGTATTTTTGAACCACGGTTGACCATGGGTAACTGAAGCATTGGAAGGCAAAACCATGATAAGGGGGAACTACTACATGTATTGAAAATCCAGATCACAATTTTGTGTGTGTGTGTGTGTGTGTGTGTGTGTAATTTTGGTCATAGAAGAGATCTTAGAGAGTGTCTCCTTTATTCTCACATTTCTGATGAAACTAAGTCAGAAAGAATAAAGAGACTCACTCAAGGTGATCTGTGACAGATCCTAGCCTGGTTACCCCAGCTACATGATTTCCAATGGTACTGAGTCTAACATTAACGTTAGGTTTAAACATTAACTTTTGTAGATCAAGAATGTCCACTTGTCCTTGGAAAATTATTTAGCATCTCTGCATTAGGTCCTTAAGACAGGGCCAGTAATTGTTGCCTCATTGCTGAGAGCATCCAATGGCACACAGCAGGGGTTTAATAACTAATGGCATTCCCTGACCAAATAAGGAAGCTGTTTCTTTCCCTCCCTCTTGCTGATATGTTTTGTTTTTCTCTGACCTCAGGTATATAGAAGCAGGGTAGAACAGAGGACAGACACCTAGCCCAGCCTGGTGTTACTAAACAATGGCAGCTGGTGAGCCAAGGGTGACCAGGGCCCTGAACTCTGTGGCCCAGGCTTTGAGGGAAACAAAGTTGTTCTCAATTGTGGAAGAGGAGAATTTGGACAGCAGAACAAAAAAGGAAGACAGCCTCTTGGAGCAGATACATTTGTCACAGGAAGCCACATCAAACCCTGGGACCTTTACTGAGCCTCTCCATCTGCCCAGTTACTGGGAGGTAGATAGCCCCAGGAAGGAATCCAATCAGCCCTGGGCGCCAGGTCAGGAGTGGATAAAGCTGGAAAGAGACACCACAGAAGAGAAGATGTTTGAACAGCTGAAGCCAATCGAACCTGTACAGAAGATGTTCCCATGGGTGGGCAAGGTAGCTGCCACCCTGCAGGAAGCCATGAAGAGAGATTGCTGGAGGGAGGCATGGGTGAAGAAGGTGAGGAGACTAAGCTAGAGAGAGGTGGGGTCCAGGTCCTAGACTCCAGGAGCTCTTTCATGCATGCTCCTGCCTGCAGGTCAAATGAAATCTCAGATTGTTCTAGACTGAACGACATCCAGAAAAAGGAGCCGCAAAACCTTTCTCCATCTCCCGCACCACCCTGGCATCCTTCATGTGGTACTTCCTGAAATTTGTTAGAGTGGCAGCATTTTTTCTTTTGCTTTGCTTTCCTATTTGTATTCTGCATATCCTCTTTCCTCTCCCCCACATCTTATCTTTCTCTTTCTCTTCATCTTTCATTTCCTTTTTTTTTGAGACAGCGTCTTGCTCTGTCACCCAGGCTGGAGTGCAGTGGCGTGATCTTGGCTCAATGCAACCTCTGCCTCCCGAGCTCAAGTAATTCTCCTGCCTCAACCTCCTGAGTAGCTGGGATTACAGGCATACATCACCATACCCGGCTAATTTTTGTATTTTTAGTAGATACCTGGTTTCACCATGTTGGTCAGGCTGGTCTCGAACTCCTGACCTCATGATCTGCCTGCCTCAGCCTCACAAAGTGCTGGGATTACAGGCATGAGCCACCACATCTGGCCTCCTTTCCTTTCTATACTTCACAGTTGCTGGCCTTGTGTCTCTCTTTTAATATTTCTCTCTTCCTTCCATGGTTTTATCTTTCTCTTAGGTTTTAATTCTCTGAATCTTGAGACTGGATGTTAATCTTGTACACACATACACACACACACATATACATACCTACATATATTTATGTAAACTTTTTGAGTCTCTCCTGTTCTTCCAGAAGCCAGTCACCTTTGAGGATGTGGCAGTGAATTTCACCCAGGAAGAGTGGGACTGTCTAGATGCCAGCCAGAGGGTCCTTTACCAGGATGTTATGTCGGAAATCTTTAAGAACCTAGCATCTGTGGGTAAGAGGCTGGGCTTCCCTCAGCAAGCCCCCTGTCCTAAGGGCCCTGGAACATCTGGTTTCCCTGGACAGGTAGATCAGCTTACAGTTAGTTTCACTGACCCCTGGTTCTATGCTTTCCAGGTGTGAAAGATCTGAGTCACTAAGCTCAGTGGTAAAGAGAAGAAACAATAGCCTGCATGAAGGCAAAGATAACACTTGTAACATGATGACAGTGTTCTCAAAATATGCAAATTTTTCCATTCATCAAACAAATATTTACTAAGTCACTCCTGAGAACCAGATACTTTGCTAGCAGCTGAACTTTTGAATGTCTCCTTTCTGCATCTACATGTCCCAGGTTATGGTTCTTAAACAAAGGCTACAGGAGGTAACCTGTTGTCCCCATCAGATGTGAAGGGGCCACACCTGGGACCAACTCAACTCTTTCTCATTCCCACACATCAGCCAGAATCTTGCTGCATAAGCCAGAGCGAATCACCAAGCTTGAGCAACAAGAGGAACAATGGAGAGAGTTTGTCCATCTCCCAAACACAGAAGGCCTTTCAGGTAAGAATTGCCAAGCAGGGAGGAAGGTAAAAAGGGCCCAGAATAACCCTAGAAAGGATGGAGAGCTGATGGGGAGGATGAATGCTCTACAGATGCTCTCCTAGTGAACCTCTGTCCAGCCTGGTCAGACTTGGAGTTGAAAGAGAGCTTAAGATCATAGGCTCAAGTCCCTCGACTTCAAGTTGAAGATCTAAGTCTCTTTTTCTTTTTTTTTTTTTGAGACAATCTTGCTCTGTTGCCAGGCTGGAGTGCAGTGGCACAATCCTGGCTTACTGCAACCTCCACCTCCCGGGTTCAAGCGATTCTCCTGCCTCAGCCTTCCAAGTAGCTGGGACTACAGGCATGTGCCACCATGCCCAGATAATTTTTGTATTTTTAGTAGAGACGGGAGTTTCACCATGTTGGCCAGGATGGTCTCGATCTCTTGACCTCAAGTGATCCACCCACCTTGGCCTCTCAAAGTGCTAGGATTACAGGTGTGAACCACCGTGCCTGGTGGGCTGAAGATCTAAGTGTTTCAGGAGAAGTAAATGTCTTCAGTTTCTAGAGATTGAGAGATGACATGAAGGTTGCTTATGTCCATGACATTGTTCTGATTAAAATGTTCTGTCCAAGAGAAAAGAGAAGCAAAGGAGATCGGCTTCATGCTGCGTTGGAGTAAGGGAGGCTTACCCTGGTAGTAAATAGTTGAGAGAGATACCAAGCTAGGCTGACTACACTTCTTGGTTTGCCAGGATGGTACTGGTTTATGCTTCTCATCCTAGCTTGATTATTAATAACACCTCTTTTCACCTGCAAGTGGCCCAATGTTCATGATGCATTATTATGCGGGTGTCTGTGGAGTGTCTATGGGAATTTGAGCAATAATGAGAATGAGATAAGATAGATTTCAAGAAGTGTTGTTGTAAGTTAAAATTTACATTTCTGACAGTGTTGAAAGACTCCAGTTAAATTTTTATTTGCTTTTAATTTGAAACGCCAAATTTATTTTTTCTTATTTCTAGCCTATAAGACCCAAGGGCGAGGATGAATGTGTTGGGTGGGAGAGCAAGGGCAGAGACAAGAAGTGTCTTGGGCTGAATGGAGAGCTGTGTTGTAGTTCTTCTTCTTCTTCTTTTTTTTTTTTTTGAGACGGAGTTTCACTCTGGTTGCCCGGGCAGGAGTGCAATGGTGCCATCTCGGCTCACTGCAACCTCTGCCTCCTGGGTTCAAGCAATTCTCCTGCGTCAGTCTCCCTAGTAGCTGGGATTACAGGCAGATGCCATGATGCCCAACTAATTTTTGTATTTGTGGTAGAGACAGGGATTCACCATGTTGGTCAGGCTGGTTTCGAACTCCTGACCTCAGGTGATCCACTGGCCTCAGCCTCCCAAAGTGCTGGGATTACAGGCGTGAGCCACCGTGCCCGGCCTCTGTTTGTTAATTTAATATTTTGATGCACCATGTTGGTCAGGCTGGTTTCGAACTCCTGACCTCAGGTGATCCGCTGGCCTCAGCCTCCCAAAGTGCTGGGATTACAGTTGTGAGCCACCATGCCCGGCCTCTGTTGGAGTTCTTATAGTGGAATTTTGTGTTATTCTTCCTCATTCACTACAGAAGGTAAGAAGAAAGAGCTTCGAGAACAACATCCCAGTCTGAGAGATGAGGGGACTAGTGATGACAAGGTCTTCCTTGCATGCAGAGGGGCCAGCCAGTGCCCCCTCTCTGCCCCAGTTGGGTCTATGGACAGGACCCAGGTGCTTCAAGCATCCCAGGCTAGGCCACCCTTTTTTTGCCACATCTGTGGCAAGTGTTTCAGCAGGCGCTCCTACCTCTATAGCCACCAGTTTGTTCACAATCCCAAGCTGACTAACAGCTGCAGCCAGTGTGGGAAGTTGTTTCGGAGCCCCAAGTCCCTCAGCTATCACAGACGCATGCATCTTGGGGAGAGGCCCTTCTGTTGCACGCTCTGTGACAAGACCTACTGTGATGCTTCTGGACTAAGTCGTCACCGCCGTGTCCATCTGGGTTACCGGCCCCATTCATGCTCCCTGTGTGGGAAGAGCTTCCGGGACCAGTCTGAGCTCAAACGCCACCAGAAGATACACCAAAACCAGGAGCCAGTGGAAGGAAACCAAGAGTGTACTTTGAGGATTCCAGGCACCCCTGTTGAATTACAAACACCTATCGCCAGAAGCCAGAGGTCCATCCAGGGGCTTGTGGATGTGAACCATGCCAGGTCTCAGGAAACCATACCAGTGGCCAGGTCTCAGGAAATCATATTTAGAACTGAGGGTCCTATGGCCCAGAACCAGCCATCTGTACTTAAGAACCAAGTACCTGTGACCAGGACCGAGGCACCCATCATTGGAACCCCCTGTCAGGATGCCAGATCCAACTCTCATCCAGTGAAGCCCTCGAGACTCAATGTCTTCTCTTGCTCGCATTGTCCTTTGACTTTTAGCAAGAAATCCTATCTCTCCAGACACCAGAAGGCCCACCTCACAGAGCCACCCAACTACTGCTTCCATTGCAGCAAGTCTTTCAGTTCATTTTCCAGGCTGGTCAGACACCAGCAGACCCACTGGAAGCAGAAGAGCTACCATTGCCCTATATGTGACCTCTCCTTTGGGGAGAAAGAGGGCCTTCTGGATCACTGGAGGGGCTATAAAGGCAAGGAACTGTGCCAGAGCAGCCACCATAAATGCCGGGTGATCCTGGGCCAGTGGCTTGGCTTCTCTCATGATGCCCCCACTATAGCTGGGGAGGAATGGAAGCATGGAGGTGAATAATCTCCCCCCAGGATCCATACCCTCAGGAGAAGAGGCCTAAAAGAGAAGGCCTGCAAAGGAGACAAAACAAAGGAGGCAGTGAGCATCTTGAAACATAAATAAATGGCCTTTCTGACTGAGGTCTTTCTTTGTGTTTGGTTTCCTGAGGACTGACCTCTGGGGTAAGGAGGCTGGAGTAGAGGGAGACAGGTGAGTGGATAAGGAAGGAAATATATAAAAGAAAAGGGGTTAGAAGTGTGCATATGAAAACTCGTATTATTTATTTATTTATTTATTTTTTCGAGACAGAGTCTTACTCTGTCACCCCAGCTAGAATGCAGTGATGTGATCTCAGCTCACTGTAACCTCCGCCTCCTGGGTTCAAGCTATTCTCCTGTCTCAGCCTCCTGAGTAGCTGGGATTACAGGCGCCCACCACTATGCCCAGCTAATTGTTTGTATTTTTAATAAAGACGGGGTTTCACCATGTTGGCCAGGCTGGTCTCGAACTCCTGACCTCGTGATCCACCTGCCTCAGCCTCCCAAAGTGCTGGGATTACAGGTGTGAGCCACCGTGCTCAACCAAAACTCATATCATTATTAATTAGCACCTAGCTTGTTTGTTTGTATCTGACCATCAAGTAGTAGTTGTTGAATAAACAGTGGATACTCTGGTAGATATGAAGACAGGAGAAGAAGGATGAGAGGAAGGAAATTCTGAGACCTGTGGAAGATATGTAAGTAGAAGGAAGACATTCTAAAGCAGGCATGTTGTCCAGCTTTCATTTCTTGCTTCCCCAGTTCCCTAGTAGGCTGCCAAGACAAGGTGGAGCTCTGGCTAGTATTCTGTAGGTTTCTCCCCATCTCCAGGTTTGGGTTGGGGCTACCCATATCCTCACTCTTCAGTTCACTCAGCTCTCTCTTCAATGTTTCACACTCTTCCTCTTCCTTCCCTTCACATGCCTCTCAGTTCTGCGCAATCAGGGCTGGAGTCTTGGAAGAAACAACCACCATTTGCAAAGTTATCATACTGTAATTTTCAGTGAGGAGGTTCCTGGCCTCCAGTTCATGGCAGAGACCATCCTATCTGTGTTGCTCTCCAGCACAGGTGTCCTCTGATGGAGAGAGGGGCACCTGCCTGTCCTTAGCCAGGAAGGGTTTCCAAGTGGAAGACTGGAGAGAGAAATGGAAAGAAGGATAATAAAAATGGGAAAACGAAGGAAGAGAAAAGGTAGATGACAGAAGAAGGGAAATCAATTCTACTTGGAATTCAGAGTGTTCCTGAAAGTGCAAATTGGAATGTCCCCATAGCAAAGATGCCAGTGAGTATGCAACTTGATGGATGAGATGTCCCCAAGGACCAATCCCTGGGCAACCAGGCTCTCCTCCACCCCTGCCAAGATGTGACATCACTCAGAAAGGGTTTCCTAGAAGAAGGAAAAAATAACTTGAAAAATCTGTGTCAATAGTTTGTATCATAAAACCATTGAACTAGGGAGAAGAAAAGCCCTTGGGGTCATCTTGTCTCCATGCCTGCCTCAATAGTTGGTCTGAGAGGCGAGGCACTGGGCAGTTGCTGTGGAATGGGCAATGAGACCAGCTAGGGTGGGGTTCCTGCTTAGGGGCAGTGAAGGAGGAATGGGTCAGGCAGCAGATGGGAATGCCTCCAGCTTCTCTGCCACCTGTAAATGTGTCTAACAGCTGGCCTCTTGCCCCTGTCCCTCCCAGGAGGAGTCTTCCCTCCACCCAGGCTCTCCAGCTCCTCCTTTCCTCTGGGACTGTGATCTCTCAATAGCCCCCCTCTTCCTCTTGTTGCTTCTGTCTCCCTTTCCTCCCTTTTTATTCTCTGCTTATAAGAGAGAGAAGATAACTTACTTAGCTCTTCAAGGAATTGCCCTGAAAACAAAAAGAAACAAATACACGATCAGTGGAAGATGAATAGCACCTTCCCCACATCCTCCCTGTGGATATTTGGAGTGACCCACACTGCCCTTTCCACTGGGGGACCCCACAGATCCAGTAAGTGGTTCTCTTCACAGTTTCTCAGAAGAGCCTGGGGTTGGGCATGGGGACAGAGGAATAAGGAAATCCCAGCTCCCCTAATCTTGAACCCTGGTTCTATTCTCTTTCGGCTTCCCATTCAAAGCTGACTTGGTTCCCCACTATTTGGTGGTCTTGCCTGCTGCCCAGCCACTGCACCTGCTAGTCTTCGATGTAGCCAGTTGTAGCAGATGATCAAGGCAACCAGGGGTCCAAGAACCGGCACAATTACAAACAGGGTTATCTTCCAGCAGGGCACCCTCAGAAAGTGGGGATCTGAATTGTTCACCAGAACAAACAGGGTTAACATGTGTTCCCCCTCATGCCCCACCCACCTTTCTTTTTTGGTTCCTTAACCTGGGATCCTAGAACACCAAAGGACTCTGGGGACAGAATTCAGAGAGTCCATAAATTTGGATGAGAAAAGTACTGCCTCCTTATTTTCATTAACTGGATTTAACATTTTCTTTCATTAAAAATGTAACAACTGACCAGGCACGGTGGCTCACACCTGTAATCCCAGCACTTTGGGAGGCCGAGGCAAGCAGATTACGAGGTCAGGAGATCAAGACCATCCTGGCTAACATGGTGAAATCCTGTCTCTACTAAAAAATAGAAAAAATTAGCCGGGCATGGTAGCGGGCACCTGTAGTCTCAGGTACTCTGGAGGCTGAGGCAAGAGAATGGTGTGAACCGGGAGGTGGAACTTGCAGTGAGCCAAGTTTGTGCCGCTGCACTCCAACCTGGGCGACAGAGCGAGACAGCATCTCAAAACAAAACAAAACAAAATGTAACAACTGCCAGGCGTGGTGGCTCACACCTGTAATCCCAGCACTTTGGAAGGCTGAGGCAGGCAGATCACCTGAGGTCAGGGGTTCAATGCCAACCTGGCCAACATGGTAAGACCCCATCTCTACTAAAAATACAAAAATTAGCCTGGCATGGTGGCGCATGCCTGTAATCCCAGCTACTCGGGAGGCTGAGGCAGGAGAATCGCTTGAACCCAGGAAGCCGAAGTTGCAGTGAGCCGAGATCCTGCCACTGCACTCCAGCGTGGGCGACAGAGCAAGACTCTCTTGGAAAAAACAAAACAAAGCAAAACATGTTACAACTAACCACAATATCAGCAGTACCTGTGACTTAATTACCAATGGAAGCCATATATGTTTTCATTCCCATTAGAGTTATTGCAGAAATCTTGAAATACTGTTTATGTTTGTTAGTATTTTGAAATTAAAGGTTATTGGGCCAGGCCTGGTGGCTCACACCTGTAATCCCAGCACTTTGGAAGGCTGAGGCAGGCAGATCACCTGAGGTCAGGGGTTCAATGCCAACCTGGCCAACATGGTA